GAAACGAGTACTACTGTAGTCACTACACCGCAGCTACCAGGCACGATTGTGAACAACCAACCAAAGTGTTCGATGGCTATAAATATTAAAAAAAAAAACAGTCAACAATATACAGAGATACACACAGAGACAAAGAAAGGCGGAGAGAGACACAAGCAAGTGCTGACAAACGGAGAAGAAGCACATATACTCTCCAAAGAATAAGAGACCCCTTGGTCTATAAAGAACATCTCTTGTAACGAATACATCTGTGAACAATTAAACAAAGGTTTTTGCTTCTTGTATGAGATAGTAAATGTAATTAACAGGACATCCACGGATACCTTGGAATCGCTTGTTCCATAAATAAAATAAAGCTTTGTACAAGGATATACCTTGCTAGAGTAATTGTTTGAAATTCTCTTGATTTATTCTATATCCGCTCTTTTTGCATTGATACATTGGCATCACAAAATTGAGAGTCATTGGAGAATTACATCCCACACAAGCACAATGAAATCCCTCATAACACAAAACAAAAAAAAAATGCAGTACAACATGTAAACCCAATGTATCCTGAGATTGCCCATGTAACCAAGTGTATATGGTACAAAACTTAGAATCCTGAGATTCCTAAGTTTATTAATGTATGAGTAATATAGAACAACTTTTAAGTGCAAAGTAATCCACATACATGAGAATGACCTGAGGCCTTGACGGTAGTATTGCAGGGTGAGGTCTCTGACTCCATTCTCATCAAAGGATAGGGTCCAAATCCCCACAGACAGACCACTTCTTACTCACCCCAAAAAAAAATAAAAAATCCATTTACTTTATCAGGAGAGATGATCGGGTTCTCTATTTAAATTGGATATGAATAAAGTTGTGGGCTTTAAGTTATAAACCAAAACTCAGGGACATTTCTGGTCTATCACAATGGAATGATAAAAGAGTCTTCTTAGCCTTGATGCTTATTTGGGTCAATAATTTTTACTAAAGCCATACAAAAGAGATGCATTAAAGATCATAGTATCCAAGTAAAAGATCAGACATACTCTTCCATTTCTTCAGAACTAACATTAGGGTCAAGAATATCACAGGTATATGATCCCTGCCAAGACTGCAGGCACCCATAAATGATTCACAAAAACATAATCATCATATAATTCTGTAAATATAAAGATTTCTTGAGAGAAAATTCCAATCACAGAAAGACAGTGGGATAAACAACAGAGGGGTTCAGTTTTTTTTTTTTTGTTGGGGGGGGTGGGGGGGGGGCACGTAAGATATTAAATCATTCTGTATAGAAAAGAAAATAAAAGGAATTAGCAAGGAAAAAGCTAAGTTCATTTGAGATTTTTGAAACAAAATCCTTCTATTTATTTGATGGTTGGAGCGAATCCACTTGTTAGGAATGCCCAAGACCTCTATGTTAAACCACAAGAAAGTTGTGAAATCAAGAGCCCTGACTTTGAGTTTGCTCAGGCGAAGCCTAGGTAGGATTATGATTTAAACTAGTAGAAAATATTTTCTTCAAAAAAACTGTCGACTTTTTCCTGACCATTTTAGAAGCTTAACATATTGAGTTTTAGGGATCTTACACAAAATTTCTCATCATCGGTCTGATTTGTAGGATCATTGACCTATAAATCTTATGAAAAGTGCAAATTTACTAATGCATTATAATAAAGGAAAAAGTTTATATAAGGTTGTAACCTCAAAATGTAGAATTACAGACGCACCTCAAAAATCCATAAGAAAATGGTGTTTTAATGTTGGAAAACCATATACTTGATCATCTCGACATTGAGATGTGTAAAAAAGAAAAAAAAAGAAGAAGAAGATTTTTAGTCCCAGAAATAGTGCATCTTGCAACACATTATTTAGACCGTCCATTTTCAAGATTTTCATATTTTATAGATCTACTTGATTTTAACAATTTTTGGAGTTTAAAATTTTATAAATAGATATGAAAATATATTTTAAGATAATCCTAAAAA